CAAACTTCAACCTGGAGGCGAGTTAGGGGAGCGAACGAGCTAAGCCGAAGGCAAGTGAGCGCAGCGAATGAGCTCCAACCCAAAGGTGAGTGAGCGTAGCGAACGAACTTCAACCAGGACGTGATTGAGCCATGCGAACGAGCTCATCTTGAAAATGAACGAGATTTGACATAAACCCACATTAGGACAGGGCGACGTCTGTCGGGTCAGCTAAGTTACTTATAAAAGTAAACAACTATTGATTTTCCTACGTAGGGAATCAATTGAACTTTATGACAATAGTGTCATTTGGTGTCTGGATTAATCTTGGAATTTGTAAATAAAGTTTACTTTAAAAAAGTTTTCAAAATTTTTATTTTTTTGAATTTTACATTTTTATCATCCAACTAGCTGTTGTACCCTTGCTTTGCAACTTGAAGAGGACACAAAATAGAAACATTTTAATCATTATCTCTTGCATACAATAGTTACAGATCCGCCAACGCTTTTAGAAACAAAATTCAACTTTTATAGCCTTAATAGAAACGTTTAACCCTTCCCGGACGGGTGACGGATATATCCGCATAAGTCATTAGCGATTAAGGACGGGTGACGGATATATCAGCCTATGGTTTTTTATGTTCCGGACGGGAAGCGGTTATATCCGCCTTCTTTTCAGACAGACTGGCAGGTACTTAAACAGTAACCAGATGTTTCGCGGTACCAAGGCGCCACTTTCCTGCTCTATCCATGGCTGCGCTCTCTCTCGCACTCCCCCTCTCTCAGGCGCTGCCCCTCTCTCCCGCGCTGCCCCTCTCTCCCGCGCCGCCCCTTTCTCCCTCACACCAACCACCTCTCCTACACCCCCCACGACGTTTCGCGCTCAACACCACGTTGTCTGTGTGTTGGCGCCAAACGTTACAGTTGTCTGTCTAGCAGAATGAGATAGTGATGCACGATGGCTTATAACGTAAATAGTACTAGTTTTTCTGGTGATATTATTGAGTTATTGAACAAGAGTTTTTCGGAGGGTGATGTTGCTGTTGATGGAATGGAATTGGACGAAGATGACAACATATCTGTGCGTAGTTGTGATGTAAATAATGCAAATATCGATGGAAATGATATTGATATAGTAAATGGTTTTGTATCCGAAAATGACAAAGACGCTGATGTTCCTCAAGATGAATGTAATGTGGTTCAAGTGGAAAGTATTAGTGATGAACAAGTTAGTGAGGACGATATTGGGAATGCCTCAAGTTTTATTGACTCGGAAAAAGAAAGCCTTCATAGTTCAACCAATGAATCTACAATGGCGTCCAAAAAGTCATTTGCAAAGAACTCTAAAAAGCCATCTAAAAAGAGGTCTACAGAGGCACAACAACCAAATCTAACTAAAGCTAAACTCCTTCGTATGAAGTGGGATAAGGAGTATGCTTTTGTGACCGACTGACAGTGGACCTGTAAGTACTATTCCTATTTATAACTGCAATTACGGTCGTAATCTGCCTACAGAATTTGATCTCACTTCAAAACCAATTGATTTCTTTTCACTTTACTTTCATAGTAATCTAATACAATTGATTTGTGATGAAACCAACCTATATGCTCAAAGTTTGCCTATTCAAAACCAAAGGAAACAAAAGGTTTGGGCTGATACAACAACCACAGAGATCCGAGCTCTTCTCGGGGTTGTACTGAATATGGGACTTCACCCGTTGCCTGATATAAAGGACTACTTTTCATTGTCCTGGGTAAACAATATGCCCTTTTTTTCCTATGTTTTTACTCGAGATAGGTTTTTGATGCTGTTTTGGAGATTACACTTTAGTCATGAACAGGGAAGCACACGTGACCTCAAAATAAGAAATATTGTGAACACAATTCAAGAGCACATTTAACACCATCTCTGCTATTTACTTTTTAGTTCCATGGTTCTCCACTTTTTTATCTGGTTGTCTCTTACGCACACTTAATGAATTGCCTTTTATTTTTATTTTTGTACTTTTCACACCCTGGGGATTATGATAAAGTTGTGAGTCCACTTTGCCTTTAAACATCAAGTCACACACTTTTTCACCAGAACCGAAATCGTAAGTCACAGTTTCTAAACCGACTTCCCTGTGCATTCGAAAAAAAATTAAGTATAGTTCACTGATAAATTGTAGTTCCACATATCCAGAGTACTCATCATCTCGAGAAGGTAAAGTTTGGTACTGCTGAACGTCAAACACTGATCTTGAGTAAGATTCATCACCTAGGTACGATAAAAGGTTTGTATTTTTCCCACTCATTAGCAATTTTCTGTACAACTTGCAAGCGGAATTCCCAATGATTGTTCTGGTGGCCATAGAGAATAAATTATATTGATCAGAACAAACAGTTCTGTCCCCTACTATGGGTACTATGGGTATTATTTCACGTTCCATACTCAAACCTAAACTCAATTAGCACTTTCCTTCAAATCTGTTCGCAGGAAAACTAATACAATATTCAAAAATACAAAATTTACACCAAAACATAGGCTACAAATAATGTTTAAATACACCTAAAAATAAAATAACACATGTGGTATAATAAGTTAACAAATAGGTACACTTTTCCTTGTTCAAAATCGTGTCTGTTCTTAACAGGAACTCCTAGATAAATATTTACATACTGAAAGTGAGGTTATAAAAATAATAAGAAATGTCTGACAAACATTAAACAGCTGACGAATAATTTATAAACTGTGTATTATATTCTTCAATCAGAATTGTATTGACTCGACCTTTGAAGGGCTGTAGGTCGTAGCCCTTAGAAAAAACGTAAATTCGAAGGAAGTTCGGCAAATCTACACACTATCCCCTTTAATTTGAGACATAAATCTTGTTGATCGATCCAGTAATGACTGAGAAAACAGACTTACAACTGTGTATTAAATATCTACTAGTTAACCGCCCGTGCTTCACCATGGGAATATTGTCAGCAATAAAAGACATAACAATTAACGAATACTGTTTATCTTTGTATTTTATTTAGGGGCTGCTTAAGAGGGGTTCAATGTTAGAGTATTAACGGTCCAATCCGATGGTAAAGGGAGTCTCGGATCTTAAAATTATATAGACTACCACTACCTAACAGAAAGATGTTTATGCATGTGAGACTCAGAACTCGCCATTTCAAATGCAGAGTTGTGTGGTTGGATTGTATATTATTCAAATAGTTGTTTTTTCTTTTGACCCTTAATACTTTATTTATAGTCGCATTGATAAGCTTTTCCATAAACTCAAAATGTTGATAAGGAGCTCATTTTACCTTCCCCTTGTGACAACATAAGGAGAATATATTTGTGTCCCTGTTAGTCTGATCTGACTCAAAATTCATAGATTTGAAGTAGTGACAAATCCAATTTAACGACCCCAATTCAAAAGAGTTGGTGTTTTTTTGTAGGGACTTCCAGAGCACATTTTGACTGCCTGGGCCACGACCTGATATGCAAGAAACTCGAAAGACTCGGTATAAGAAACTCAGCGCTAGAATGGTTCAAAAGCTACCTAACAGGACGTTCACAAAGTCGTGGAACTGAAAAACTCAATTGAAGTCACAGCAAGTTTCAAATCTTCAAAAAGCAAGCTGACAAGAGGAGTTCCACAAGGCTCTGTATTAGGCCCGATTCTATTCATCCTATTGACTAATGACTTCCCCAAACAAATTGAGAGTGAAAATGCTGTTGCAATCATGTATGCAGATGACACAACCATTTTGATCAAGGACAACACAGCCCAAAGCCTGTACCTTAATTCAAAATCGATCCTAAATAAAGCCATCCTCTACTCAAAGAACAATGACTTAGCAATAAACCCCACAAAAACTACAACTCTGAATTTCAGTAAGAAAAAAGACATAGTCCCTCAATAAGAGGATGTAACAATAGAAAACCATACAAAATTTCTCGGTGTTATCCTTGATAACAAACTAACATGGAAAGAGCACATCAACCACCTAAGCAAAAAAGTCAGTGCTGGAATATATGTCGTCAGAAGAATAAACTACATAGGCGGACTCTCTGTGGCCAAAACAGCTTACTTTGCACTGTTAGAGTCGCATATTAGATATGGCTTGACAGTGTGGGGAGGAACTTCAACAAAAAATATTAATCGAATCCTTGTTCTTCAGAAGAAAGCCATAAGAGCCCTCGCCAACCTTGTCCCACCACAGACTTGCAGACTAGCATTCGCAAACCTAGGAATCCTCACAGTGGTGTCTCTCTACATACTTGAAACCATAAAGTATGTGGATGAAATAAACCCCGCAAGAAACCAAGACCTGCACCACTAAAACACCCGTCATGGCTTTAAATTTGCCCTACCAGTTCACCGAACAACTCTTTGGGAAAAAAACCTTCCTACACCGGCTGCAAACTGAGGAACCATCTACCTGAATACCTGAGAGACCTGATTGGCAACAAGCTACACCAGGAGTTGAAGAAGTGGCTAATCGCAAGACCCTTCTACACAATAAAGGAATTATACGAAAATTATGGAAATTAACACATACAATTCACTATTGTATTGACACTATTGTAATTCTTAACGAATGAACAATAAAGAATATTGTATTGTATTGTATTGTTCAAAGAGGTCCTGTAAACATGTATTTATGCTTAACATTATGTTTTAAGTTAATTATCTAAAAATGTCAACCCACATAATTCTATTCCTGAAGTAAGGACCCATACTTAAATAAACGATGCACTTACTACGCAGTATTAACTGTATGTTGTGTACTTGAATAAGAGTATTTCAGAAGGATTCATTGTGAATGCTTCACACGGAAGTTCATTGAAGCATGAACAAATTAAAGATGTGCATTTACATTTTTCAAGCAGTTTATGAAGTGGACAAAAAGTTAAATATAGCGACATAATAAAGCAAATTTTCCTCTGTGGATTTGAAAATTGTACAAACTGAGTAATTCTGTAAGTACACCGCTACGTTATAGTTAGAAGGTTAGAAGGGCTCAAGTCACAAATTCTGACATCATTCCCAAATTTATATTTGCAAGTAAAAATCAAATTACATAATTTTTTAAGAATAAATATCCTATTAGAACAAAATTATTCAATTAGGCTATAAAGCAAAGTAAAAATAGGTACTTCAACAGAATAATATTTATTTGCTACCATCCTTGGATTTCTTCTCCTTCTCTTTAGCCTCCTTATCCTTGTTGAGTGAACCGACAGCCTGACGAACTGCTTCACTCTGGGGGTCAACTCCTGGTAAGTTTTCCAAAACACTCTGTAGAAACTCGGGATCATTCATCACTTCGGCATAGTCCTCCACCTCCATGGGAGTCTCAGGAGGATTATCTTTTTTATTTTCGGATTCTTTGCCAGCACCAGGATCTTCTGAAAATAGTTTTTCGTTTTAGTAAAATAAACTGCTGAAACTAACAAAAAATTGCTTAGTTGTTTCAATAAAATTAACAAAGAAACAATTATTATTAGCACTTACACTGCTAAATATTTAATGAGTTAATTTCACTATTATGACAACGATGTGTAGACTATTTATAATGTGAGGAACAAGTGCCCAGGAATGAGTCCGGTTGAATATTTTTTTAGTTATTGCAGCGGTTCGACAGGAGTAATTAAATTCTTTATATAAATTTAGCAATAATGGATAAATGTTTAAAATGTGTGGCTTCTGTATTATTTGTCTTCTTAGCAAATTAAATTATAAAAGTTCATATTTGTAATAAAAAAAACAAGCGATGCCAAAAAGATAAGAAATACAGAACAACTCAAATGAAAACCAGCACAAGAGAAACTAAGCAATGGGTCTATAATATATTCAATATTTATGTATAGATATTTAGTCACGTCTAAATTATAATTATTTTTCATTATCAAGGATTCAATACAGAGCAATTTCTCCTTGGGTACCAAATACTAGGCACTGGTGTGGGGAAAACTTACGAGAATCTTGTAGTGACATTTGCATGGCAAAGGCGATCTGCTCCTCCTCCGTCATATGGCTGAAGTCAGGGGTCTGGCGTTGAGGCGTCGGCTGGTTCTGCCCCTCCACAGACATGGCCAGAGCTCTCTCTAGACTGGCCTCCTCATTGTCTCCTGAAACACATTACTGAATGAAGAGAGGAAGCATACAAAGAGAAATGGAAACACTATGGTTGCAGATAATGCATTCAAATTGGTTTAGTAACCAAATTTTTCATTCTCTAACTACAAGATTGTAGAGATGTGGTGTAGTAAAAATGTTACTTAACTTTCCACTTTTTACTGAAATTGTTGATGATACCAATAGATTAGGTAAGATTTGGTTTTGTTACCAAAATGCCATGCTTGAATTAGTCTCAAGTCTAGGTAAAAAAGTATACAAAATTTACAATTCTTTGATACCGTTATTGAAGCAGGGGTGTGCGAGTAATCGAAACTTCAAGCTTTCCATTAATCGGCTCGGCTCAAGGCATTTTGAAAAAGCTCGAAGTTCGAGCCAAGCTTTTTACTACGTAAAAATACACTAAATTTGTGTCATAATTCTGGGGCGGAGCCTGAAAGGAGTTTTGAGATAACAATATGCTTATATGTTAATCGGGAATGTGAGCTATCATCACCCCAAATTTCAGCCCAATCCGACCAGTATTTTTTGCGTTTTCTTGTCACAAACATCCATACATACATCCAAACCTTCTCATTTTTAATATTAGTAGGATGTTTTAAAATTATACTATATACAATTTTACATTTTATCCCACCATAATGGATTTACGTCCTTAGAAATTAAATGAAAATGAAATGTTTGTGATGTTAACTACTCTACAGTGTTGAGTGTACACAGTAAAAACTGAAGCTAATAAGCTAGTGATGTAGTTTTTAGCTTTGATTGAATTTGCTATCATCTTTTGATAAAGTTTTATTATGTAACATTAATATTTGTAAACTTAAGTCATATTTTGTATTTAATTTGTGTAAAAATCTTCCCAGCTAGAGGTCCCCATAAATCAAGAGTATACTTACTACATTATTCTACTTACCTTCTTTGATAGTATCAGGTCTAGCGGCTTCCTTGCTGTCTGTGTTGGATTTTCTTGCCTCTTGTTCTTGTCTTTGCCTCTGTTCCTCCATAGAAACTCTCAGAGCCTATACATAGAAAAAAACACTACTGTATTGTAAATTACTTATTTCTCAATGATTTCTATTAGGGATATATATAATGTATACCTTTTGTCAACATGGAAAGACATTAAATTGCTCATGATATTTTAAAATTCCAGCAACATTTATTGACAAAGAGGTCATTTAATGTAGGCCTACATAATATATAGAAAATACAATAAGAAAATTTTACATAAAAGATTTCAGGTAGGAAAAACTAAAACAAGCTTAAATTAGAAAGATTACACTCATCTATCAGAGAAGTTAAGTTGTGTTCACCAAATTCTAACATAAAGTTCATGATTGAATAATTTTACAATTTATGAAATACTTACCAATGCTAATTCAGGATCTTCATTGGGGTCTACACCAAACTCAAAGCCAGCACCACCTAGGCCGGCTCCGCCCATGCCATCCTCTCCCTACACACAGACACACAACGGTTGATGTAAAATATTGTTACACAACCATCTTTTAGACCAATATTATAATAATCTATTGGGACTGTTAAAGTTGTTTCTTGGCCATCATCAGTTACCTTAGGCCAATTTATTGTTGTGGTAACTTTTTTATATTTTTTGTATCTGTTTACGTGTTATTGAGTATGAAGTAAATCTAGTAAAATAAGATTAGTGGAATACATTCAGGGCATTAGAATGCGGTGTGTTGTTTATTGAAAATTACGTTTAGATTGAATTATCCGAATCAATATTTTTTATTGTATCGTGATGAGATAAGTCTGTTTTGTCTTTTGGTAATGGTAATAATAAAGAAGTCATATTGTTCTTATAATGATTTTTATAAATTTTACTAACCTTTTTGTCTATTAAAAATTACAGAAAATTTACAAGCGTTACGTGTATATCTATATAAATAAAATTTGAGTTTTGTCTGTACATTGCTCAGAATCATAAATTTGTAGGTTATTTTTATGTTTTATACATTAAAGAAGCCGATACAAGTCTCATCTAAATTTCTGTCTGTCTGTCTGTCTTTCTGTAACACTCAAGATGGCATTTTACGCAATCTTCTCCAGGAAAATGAGAGTACCTATCAAGATCCAAGTCGTTTTAATGTATTCACTGGATTGGCGAGAGTGTCTTTAGCCATTAAAATATGGCCTCACTACTTAGTAAATAAAATTACGGACGTTCAAAAATGCAGTTTTGTGCGATTTTTGTCAAGTTTTTGTCCAATTTTTATTACATTATGATCTATAAATAACAAAAGCTGTTCGGATCAAAATTATTTTTGTCTAGCTGTCACTGATATGTTTACAAATGTTGTTTACAAATACCGCAACCATTTTCGATCACGTTTTGAAGGTAAATCAAATCCAAGTGACATTAAAAACGTTGTCTTACATAACGGATTTAATTAATCGCAAGTGGAATAATATAGAGTAACCGTAAATGAAATAATTAATAACTAGGCATCATCCAGGTCAGGAACCAGAGATTCTTTGTGTGTAAAATTGTTCTTGAGTTTTGATAACCAGAAAGAAGACCTTGAATCAGTGTTGTATAGGGCTGGGAAACTTAAATTTATTAATGATCGTCGCCAATAGCTTACTAACAAGGATTCCACTCATTGACGGCGCTTCAATGGCGGTTGTGTAAAGTGTAAAGTAAAAAATCACAACTGCAGTGGGTGATTGTAACAGAGGTTTACGGTTTATGGATTATGCTAAACTTGCTTTTCCGATGTGTCACTTTCTTTTCCTACTCACCTTATGATGCAATCGCTGGACCATACAGCCATAGGGCCATAGCCCATCTCTTGGGTACTTACGCCTACCCAATTATTCATAACAACCTTTTCGACGACGATCCTTGATCCCGGTAATTTTCCCTAGAAGAAATAAAATTACAAACGTCCAAAAACCCAGTGTTGTCTCATTTTTGTCACATTTCATTCGAATGTTAAAAGATATACGAATCATTGTTTAGAGAATAGGCCTACATAATCTATTAAATAACAAACAGTTGTTTGTATGAGGTTGATTTTTTTTCAAACTGACACCAATAATTTTACATTAAAATTTGTTTACGAATAAAGCAATTAATGGGAAATAGCTTTGATTGCCAATAATTTTTTACGAGAAAATCCAAAACCAAGAAATCAATAACTTTGGGACTTGATTAACGCATTTAATTTGTCAGACGTAATTCTTAACTGTAAACGTTGGTTTTTGGTACTGGTTCTTTTCCTTAGAACCGTTCGTAGCAGCAAGAATCATTTTTAGTTTTTTACGTACCAACACATCACTGTAATTTACAAATTAGTTATCGTTGGTGTTCACCTTATTTATACAGTCGTATTATAGCCGTACTCAATTTAATTGATGTCTTAACTGGATAAGTTTTGCTTTTTCTGTCTGGATTCAAAATTTTAGTTTATGCTAAGAAAATGATAACTCATTTGAGTAAAACATTTGTTTAGCAAACCATCATGAATTGTTTATGATTTACGTTGTTTATGTATCAATAGTTTGTGGCCTATTTTGGTAATTTTATTATAATTAAATTACCAATCTAAATTGTCTATAGTACTTCATTTCATATAGTAAGACGCCATTTCGACAGCATTTCGGGTCATCTTCGGTCTAAGTAAATATAGATTGGTATAATAAAATTTGATGACATTAATACAAATTTCAAATACTAATTTTATATGTACTTTTTTATGCTTAAAACGTAGCAAATTCCCTAATTAAGTTCTGTATTTTTGTGTGTATGTCTATTGGTAACGCATTTATGTCCTTATTTCTCAGTGTCACGAAAAGGACAAGAGCACCTTGATAATTAAAATGTCAACCCGAATAAAGTGTTAAATGGTGAGGTTGAGGTAGTACTTTAAATACTTTGAACCATTGTGGGAAGTAACTTTCAACTATAGGCCTACCTTAGAGCTATGCCTCATAGATCTAGGCCTATAAAGCTTTTTTAGTTTAATCATTGGATTTAACATATGGACTAACACGATCCGGGTGACATTTAATTGCGAAGCATGTGTTTTGGCTTGAAACTGTCAGATACTGTATTTGCGAAGGTTTATATATAATAGTTTTGCCTGCATATCTAAAAATATGCAAACCAACTGCTGTTCTTAATATAAGAAGATTTCAACTGACTACTTTAAGATCCCCTTGCGTAGAACGGGCACACAGCTAGTATATATATACGGATCAATGCATTCCTTAGTGAGCGCTGGACGTATATATAAGCCGCAACAATTATGGTCATAAAACTTGTAAATAGGGATGGGCTGATTCCGATTCTCGATACCAGCGGAAGAATCGCTGATACTCGATACTTCGCATTATTGTACTCAATATGGCTAAAAACACTCTTGCAAATCCATTGAATACAAAAAGACTATTTGGATCCTAATAGATGCTTTTGTTTTTCAGGAGAAGGCCGCGTAAAATGCCTTCTGAGTTGTGACATACAGAAATTGAGATAAGACTTGTTTCGGCCTCTTTAATGTATAAAAAGTAAAACTAACCAAAAAATATATAATTCTGACCAATGTACCGACAAAACTCTAATTTTATTTATATAGTATTAAATATATTATTTAATATCGATATTATCAAAATTGATAATATTGATGATGACAATATTGAGGATGACATTATCACTCAAGCAATATGATAGCAATATTTCTTGATTTTTGATTCTATGGAAGATTCAATGTAAGCCTAGATGTACAAATGCTTATGCAAACAAAAAACTCAGTGAAAATTTTAGGCCTACCTAAATCGATGTTTGTTGTTTCAATTTAATTTAATAAAATATGTTAAAATGTATGTTTTCTTGAAGTATCTTATGGGCTAACCTAATATATGTTAAACAAAATCAATAGCAACACAGTTATCTAATTGTATAAAGATTAAATAAATAAAAAATGTTCCATTATGCATAGGGCTAGCGAGAACCACACATTATATTAATGTATTATTGGGTGAATTTATAACAGGTATCATTATCAAGTGCGGAATCAAGAATCAAAACCAAAAGTTCTGAAATTGGTATCGAAATTGACCAATTCTCGAATCGGCCCATCACGGGTCCGAGGAATTGGCTAACTCTGGAACTTGCTAACCCCATGTTAAACGTCCTATCTTCAAATTAGGTCGATGAGAGGAACTCGCTAACTTGTTCGGTTTCGGAATTGGCTAACTCCGGAACCCGCTAACCCACTCTGAATTCCGTCCTCGTACGGAAGTCGCTAACTCGGTCCCTCGGCGGAACTCGCTAACTCCCAATGAGAAGCCTCGCTCACCGTCCAATGGGAGCCAAGCACGAAGATTGTTGGACAGTGTTGCCGAAAGTGTAGTACCTACGATCGTATCGGTACCATAATATCGTATCCTACGAATAATTAGGAGTATGAGCAATGTAGTAAATAAAATAAAGATAAATTTAGAAGTATGTTTAATATCTTATGACTTATTATTATGGTGGAAAATGCATTATAGTCTCACCATAGACTAACCAACATAAGTAAACATTACATACCATTGTAAATTTTGAAGCTCGTTTTTCGTGTTTAGTTCACATCCGGTGACACTTATCGCTAGTGTCGTCAAAATTGTGTTCCTATTATTTTATAGTTGATTTCATGATTTGTTTTCTACTGTTTGGTTATATAACAAGGGGACGTGATATTTGTTATGATTAGAATGTTTTATTTGGTTAAACGAGGTTTTAAATGACTGAAAACAAGAAACAAATTGTAAACAAAACACGACCTTTACAGACAGTGCAGCGGACAGAACAATAAAATTGTCTTCAGCTGATCTATAGGGATGAGAAATTTACTAATATAAGGGAGTATGTTTTATCTATTGTCTTTTTACACTTTTTGACTTTTTGTTAGGGATGGACGAGATTGGACTTTTAGTTCGAGACGAGACGAGATTTTTTATTTCTCATAAAATTTCGAGACGAGATCGAGACGGGATTTCCCTTCTCATACACAACGGGAAATGCACGTTCAACATTTTTACCTGATTTTGTAACATTGTTAGATGACTGTTTAAATACAAGAATAATAATAATAGGCATGAATATTTACAATCTTTTATTAAAAAACATCAGCATAACATTTTTTTATTAATCACGCCTAACTTATTAAAAATGCCTACGATTAGGAAACATAGTGATATCAGTTAGGATAGAATTCAACTTATCCTAAAATAAAATAAATCATAAAATAAAAGCAATATTAATTTTTATAAAATAGTTACTTGTTTTGACTTTTTATAGTAATAAAACATTCCTCACACTGCTTACACTTAACAAAACTTCTCAAATGTTATTAAAGTAATACTGTATTATTAAAATAATTAAAGTAATATTTACATATTTTAAAGAATTAATTAAATAAGAACGCCTTCGCAAAGGAAACAAAACTACAACACGCTCCTGTATTGCGGGTATTTCATTGACTTTCTGCAGGCGTTTTTAATTTTTTTTTTTTTTTTTTTTTTTTTTTTTTTATTCTTGTCTCGATAAAAATCTCGGTCAAAAAGAAATCTCGTCTCATGTAACGAGATTTAAAATTTCCCGAAAATTTCCCGAAATTTCGAGACTTGACCATCCCTACTTTTTGTGTTTTTTAATTTTTTATTAGGATGCAAAAAGATAGCACTGTACATTTAATTTGTATCTTTTACAGGTTATGAAATATCTATTTTCGTAGTCGGCCATTTGTTTCTTTTATTCGAATTAATACCATTTTGTAATCTTCTACAAATAAAATGATTATGTTCGTATTTTGTATATTGGGCTTGTAACCTTGAAGGCTTGTCCTTGATAGGTTATAAGATTTGATTCTTTAAAGGCCTATTATATCTGTCGTGCGAGTGTTAACAATAGTTTGGTTCTTCTTAATATTTCTGTATTATTACCGAAATAATTCTTAAGATTTTTGAAATCCCGAAATAGTTCATAGTATTTAGTAAACAAATAAAATAGTTTCGATATTTTTGTATAGCAGGCCCATGATATACCTAGGTACATTAATTAATAACGGAAATCTAAAAAGTTAACACTGTATTACAATATTGCATCTTTACTTTTAGGCCAGAAAAGGAATTTAAATGTTGTTACATTATGATGCTAGGAAACATATAATCTATTAACAAAAATTGAAACAGTATTGTAATAGTCTATCCTATTCGAGGCAACCAACAATTAGACATTGTAAAAGAAGCCCCAGTAATTGCCGTAGACTTTATTCCTAGAATTTTGAGGATTAACTTCCCGATAAAATTTACACGTTAAACGTCATTTCAGAAATACATTTTAGTTAAATATAAGTTAATATAGTTTTAGTGTTAAATATAATTTTAAATAGAGCTATTGAATTTAAATAAATATTAATCAATACATTATAAAGTATTGATATTTCAATAAAAGTGGAATTGATAACAAAAAACAATAGGTAACATTTACTGTATCTTTATTGATACTGACATTTTGAAATACGGCAGTGTACAATTATTTTGTCGTACAAGGTTGGCAACGCTCCGTGCAGTGGGCACGGCCGGGTTAGCGACTTCCAGAGTTAGTGAATTCCGGCGCGGGACAAAATTGAGTTAGCGGGTTCCGGAGTTAGCCAATTCCTGACTGAGACAGTTAGCCAGTTTCAGAGTTAGCCAGTTCCGACACACAACCGAGTTAACGAGTTCCTGAGTTAGCCAAATCCTACGTCTCACCATCACTACTTGGAAAAATACTATTTTGATAAAAAATGTGTCTATAATCAACTTTAACCATCAGATAGAAGTAGAAAAACATCAAAATTCCGAATTTAATTTAAACTCCAACCAAATTATTGATTGCGTAGTGAGTAGGGCTTCGCCCTGCAGCCGCCGCTCGGGAAGGGTTAAGACAAGACCATTAACTAAATAGAATTATAAGCATATTAAGGTTAAGAGTGTGCAGATTTCCCAAAAGTTATTGATATGAACAAATTCCCCAAAGGCCAATTTTCCAAGAGCTCCGCCTAACATTTTTCCAAAGTTTGCAGTTTTTTAAATTAATTGAGCGATAAAAATCTGTTAACAGGATTGAAAGATATTTATTAATTTACATACTGTAGTTGTAGTAGTAGCATATAAGCTATAGCTGTTTGAAAATGCATTTGTTGGTGTTTTATTTACATTGTGGAGATTTGGGTATAGAGCCTATAATTAATGTTTCATTAACAACAGGTAGTAAACGTCTTGTGGATGTTTTAGCTTACCGTTTTCTGTTAAATTTATGTAGTGAGCTACAGGTGAAGAGGCAGCTTGTATGATATTGAACACATGGTAATCTCAAAGCTACCTGAGGTATAAGATTGATGTTGTCTACTTAAAGTTTTAAGATTTTTATTCCTAGAATTTACAAGACTAGCTGGTGATTTTTATTATAAGCAAATTTTAATTACTAAGTTTTGCTTCAGCATTTACGACAATACCTTTTCCATACTGATTTTGACATCCTGTGTCCATAGAATCTTCCACCAAATTAGGCAAATACACTGCACTAAGCAAAGATTTTCTCACTCAAACACTCCTATCAGCATTATTAGGTGTTTGCTAATAGTGAGTAATGAGTAGATAGTCCCAGTGTTGTGTACTAACAGTGATACTTAGTTTCGATTTAATAAAAGCTTAAAAACTTGCCAAGGAGCTGAAGTTATCTGAAGTTAGATTTTTAACTAGAGCTCTGTAAGATTCTCAAAATTTTCAAACAAAATAAGATTGAACATATTTGATACATTTTTGAGACATAAAATGAATATATGACGGAGGGTACTTAACAGTTTTAGCTATATAGAGTTTAATGTTAAAGCTGTCCATTACCAATAGCACAACAGCAAAGATTTAGACTGTGATCCACCAATGAGGCACGTCCGAGATGAAGAATAAGCCTGCTTTTAAAAATGAGGAGGTCCCAAAGTGAGAACTTATACACGAGTTTACTTCCACATCAACAGTATAAATTAAACTTAATAAAATTAATAATTTTGACAACTTTCTCTGCTAATTATTCTAAGAAAACGTGTTGATTTTTTCACCTGAATGACTGGAGAGGAGATGAGAGCCTCAGAAAGGTGAGGACCAGGAGGTACTGTTACCAGGTGACTTCCACCTCCGTCCTTGCCATTCAGAGTGTTGACAAAGGAGGTCAGAACATCGGTGTTTATTATCTGGAAAATGTCAACATAGTAAAACTGCTATTGGTGGATATTGGATTTGTAAGTACATTTACAGTACTACTCCTGCTTGCCCCAACGCATTGTAATGCCTACTCAGTGTGTGTTAGGCTTCTTCAAATAAGAATCAAATATATATAGGCCTACTTGTAGTATGTTTAAAATGATAAATAAATGTTCATGCATGTAAATTTGTTGTTGGAATTGGTTAAACCTTATAAGACACTAGCATCAGCTGGCTGTTGACTCATAAAAACCACTCTCTCTTACCTCTTCACCAAAACTGACAATATCCACATTGACTTTCTCCTTTTTCAATCGTTTTGCCAACTTCACTAACTCTTTCTCCTCTTGATCAACTGGACTTCCAACAAATGCTACAATGCGCATTTTGTGATTTTTTCCTTGTCTGTGTTTAAGAGCAAGCTGAAAACATAAAGGATTGTTTTTACTATCCTGTCATGACTTGTGTTAGAATAAATATATATTAGGCAACCTTTTAGGTTCATATTGTGATACTTAAATAAATACCTACAGTTAACCATATAGAGATAACTGTACAAGTGTAGATTGTGTCAACAATTTTATGAAGCAATATTCATTTTGAAGGTATTATTTTTGGTGAGAGGAAAGTTTCTATCCAAACCTTGTGATACACCAAATTTACTCGAAATACAGTTTACTTTATAGGTTTGCAATGTTATGTTTATAATTATCATTGTCCATGGGTAGGATTAATTGGATGTAAAAGTATAGAGTGGAAATTAATGATGGTCAGACCCATATATCGGACTAACGGATCCATAGGATCTGAGCTAGACCCGATGCCAGATCGAATCCACAAAAAATCAGATCTTGGGCTGGATTCGGTTTTGATGGATCCAATTTGGTTTTATCAAACAAAAGAATTTTATATGGAAGAGTCCGATTATAAGGCATATACTGTAACATTGCCTAGCCATGATATAAGTTATCAGTGGCGGTTCCAAGGGGGGGGGGGGGCTACAGGGGCTAAAGCCCCCCCTTGGACCCTGGAAAAATTGATTTAAATATACATTCATTGTGACATTGCCAAGCCATATAAGTTATTGACATCGGCATATATTGTACTTTTGACTGACCGTATCCATATATGTTATCAACGTCAATATATACAGTCATTTAATTACCTAAACATGTTATTGACATACAGGGTGTTTATAAAAAAGCTTTACAACTTTGCCATCCACCCATCCTCTTTCCATGTAACATAAAGGTTTTCTAAAAACACCACATTAAAGAGTAGCTCAAAAAGTTTTAATAATAAGCAATTTTATTAACTAATTGGTTTATATTGTTGCTTGGTAAACAATAACAAATAACTGATGAGTCTCGTAAGAATCGCAATGGAAGCTCGTATGAAAGCGCCGTGTGTGGAGTGTGATTCATTGAAACCAAATGTTGTTGTTCAAAGGAGATTTTTGCAACATACATAAGAATCCCCCTTTAACCCTTGAGCTGGCGCTTGTGGAGTTTTCCTCCGCACTTTTAGTTTTTTTTTTTAATTAATGCATGATGGGTGTCGGCAGCTGTGTCCGGCTCCATACTTCATTTTATTTCTATTAATGATGGGCAGATCCAAGAAAATGTCGGCTCTGGATCAAGATCATGAAATATTTGGAACCGGATCCAAATACATAGGTACTGTCATAAGGATAGGGTCAAATAAAAAACTTAGTAAATATCTATAGAAATCCAATTTAAATCATACAGTTCAAAATGAAATTGGTAATGTTTAAAGGGTGATATAATAAGGTAGGTATATAATAATATAACTTAGATGGCAAGGAAATGTCACAGTATATGTTGGTAGACGTCAATAACTCATATGGCTAAGCAATGTCAAAGTAGGCCTATATGTTGCTGTCAATAACTTATATGGCTAGGCAATGTCACAATGAATATACAGGGTGTTTATAAAAAAAAACTTTACAACTTCAAACAACCGTAACACTTTTATTTTTCCACATAAAGCTATGAAGAACTACAAAAGACTAGAAAATAATTTCCAAGTTTTAGTACATAATTAATAAGGAGTTTACCCAACTTATATAATGCTATGAAGCTAATTGGGTGTCAACATTTTTATCTACTTAACATATTTGATTTAAATTAAAATCATTTTTTCTGACAAGGTTGTCACGTTTTTAAATTAGAAAAAAAAAATGTTAAACTAGCACATAGGTTTCTTGCTATTGTAAAAAATGACAATTTCTTATTTACATGCAAAAAAGATTAAACCAAGGAGCCATAGAATTGACCATGGCTATGCAGGGCTTGCGTCTTATTCTGAAGGGTCTATAAAAGTGTAATAAGATTCTACACATAAATTAAAATATTTTATTTTTAAACCATCGACAATTTCCGTACGACATATTGAGTTTCTAGCCAATGATCAATACTTACATGAGCTATTCTGATGCCAGTCAAAAGATTGATATTTCCCTCAGGCTGCACCTGATGAAGCTTTGACAAAATCCTCCCAACATCTGAAGTCAATGTTGCCAGCACTTCAACTCTGTTAACAGCCCATTTTATAGTAAATGACTTTTATAGAATTTTGGCTCTTGAGGTAAATCTTGTATATGACGCACGAAGGATGGAATGTATGTTATTGAACAAGAAATAAAAGTTCATGTAATATTAGGTTTGCGGTCTCAGTTCAATTAATACTCCAATATTTGTAGAGAATAGAATAGAATAGAAAGGTGCTTTATTGAATACATATTATGTACAGTAGGCTACATGAAATGGGTACGATAAATTGATACATGCACGTACAACAATGGTCATACAACCGTCTGCTGGGTTGGCATAATGTCCGCATAATGTCCATTCAATATTATTAAATAAAATTGTCCCACATAAATCAACATACTGAGCACTAAAACAAAATAAAATAACACTTCTTTATGCAACACATATACATACATATATAAGAAGAAGAAGAAACATGCTTTATTTTTCACACAAAAAAACATTGACTACATCACATAAAAGCATAAATCAACAATGGTTATAAAACCGTCTGTTGTGGTTGGCACAAAACAATATTCTTTTAGTAAAAATAATAACAATCTCCAAAGTATAAAAATAAAAAGCTACTTGAAAATACATCCAAATTTAAGTACTCTGAGCATGAGGATGAGAGACAATTTGTTACATACAGTCAACTAAACACAATTAATATGAAATACATAAAACGAGGAATGAACAAAAGTACAAAAAAACTATATCCAATTATACAATGCTCTAGTCAAAGTTAAATTCGTTTATCAATGCCCATCGATATTTCCAAGCGGCTTTCAAATATTTAGCAAGTATCCGCCAATTCATCCCATTTAAATATAATTCATAATTCATTGGACTTAAAGTTTGTTCCCCAAAAAACTGTTTTCTTAAATGGTGAAAGACAGGACATTTTGCTATGAAGTGAAATGTTGTTTCATTTTCCTGAAGGTTGCATAACGAACATAAATAATTTCGTTGTAACCAAGGCTTATAGTTTAAATCGATAAGTTCGGCTCTAGCTTTATGGCCCAAGAGATTCCTTGTATCATACTTTAATACTTTTCATTGAAATGGCTACCCATACAAAATAGGTATTTTAAGCCAAGTATGAATGGAGATGAGTGTAGGATGAGTGGCGCGATCTTGTATTCTTGTTAGTGGCTGAGGCTCGTTTCACATCTACCCGGCATGCCTTTAACCCAGATTCTAGACGGCACCGGCACGGGTGCATCTCTCACATTACGCCGACACCGGCACTCGGGCAGTTGTACTCCTGTTTGTGAAACTTGTGTGTCGTAGGGATGGAAATGGAACGTAATAGAGCAGTTGTAATGTTACTTTGAAATAAATTTTATTGAAACTGTATTTATATTTGGATTTTTTAAATTTCATTCAGTTTGAATTTGAGTAAAATTCAAGCCAATGTTGACAGTAGTAGTTAATATGTTAATAACATATGGTAATTGTTCAACATATGTTTTGTGTTATTGTTTGATATTTGGATTGAGTTTTTGTTAACAGAGAAATGCACAACCTTTCATGAATTCTGTATAATTATTTAATAATTAATCTAATGACAAATGTTATATAATAAAATAAAAAAATTAAAAATAAAATTGAGTAAAAATTCAATTTAATTCAAATAATTCTGCTCTTGAACTAAATTAATAAGTGGTATACGGTCTATTTCCGACATTACCAAAACTTAGCAAACAAATGCCCAAAAGAAATATACAATAACTACAAACAACTGAAGTAAAAGTACACTTGGTGCACCCGACAGACGGCAGGTGCCGGTTGTATGTGAACAGTCACATTGGGCCGCTACACCCACTACTCCAGCCGGCTTGTTTACCCGACACCGGCAGCCGGCCTTCGCCGAGGGGGCACCCGGCATCCCTCGACCAGTACCCGGCAGCCGGGCAAGTGATTAACCGTCAACAACACATGCCGTGCATATGTGAACGGTCCCATATACTTCTTCATTCCATTGCCGGTTAAACGACAGCCGGGTAGATGTGAAACAGGCCTAAGGCTGACATATTTCTTAGATACAGCTGTTAGTTAATAGCCCATACAGATAATGGCAACTAAGGGACCTACAGTTTATAGTGGAATCCGAACCACATTTTTGCCTTGGTACTAACGAATTAGTCTAGTTCCAATAGTACAAGTTTCAGTGGCATAGGTTGTGTAGTGCATGATGGTATTTGCCTTGCGGGTTACGCAAGAGATAAATCATGATTCTGGTTATGACTGAAGATAAAGAAAATAGTAAGTCTACTATTTTAGGGGTTTACTTCATAATAATTGCTAAAAATCACCTACAGATTGGGCTTAATCAATGGTCAATCACACTTTATCAATTGTACCAAATTTTAACTTACTTGGCAAGGGTTAACAGCCCTACATTGTTTTCTGGATTTGATCTAGTTTTGGAGTGACAGACAATGTTCACAGCATCTTGTTGCGCTTGAAGTCTTGTAGGCAGAAAATCTCCATTCCTCATATAGTCACTGTTATCCACACTGAAAAATAGAGAAAATAGCCATCAAATTAAAAGCAATTGCAAAGGTACTCTTCAGATTAGAAAAAATATTGACCTTATTCATACAGAAATATTAAGTATTTTAAGCGAATTTCCAAATAGGAATAATAGAACACAAAAACAAATACTGTGCCCCAACAAATATAGTGCTAGTCTGCTACGTTAAGTTTAAGTTAAGTGAAGAGAGTTACATGGATGAGGATGATGGGAAGAATAACATTGTTGATTAAATAATCATCATTGACTAGCCTATCGAGACATTTGAAGTGATTCTGTAGTCTATAATGTTTTCTATAAAGGGAATTTTGTCACATTATTGAGATATAGATAGAACGGTTGACTAATTACAATACTTTGGTATTATCAGGAGGCCACTTTAAGGGTGCTGCGTCATAAGTATGTTTGTCGGACTTTCCTCGTTTACTCTGGCTCGTTGTGATGCATTTCTTGGTACTAATGAACATCTTAAATGCCAAGTGACAAAGTCTAAATACAAACCCAGTAAGCATAAGAAACTAAAGCCTTGGATCACAACTACATACACGAACATACCACCAAACATCATCTTTTGCCGAACATTTAATATCCCAAGGCCACAATTATACCAACACATTAGCAGCAATATGGATATTTTACATTTTTCTAAAGACAGATATAAACTTAACACATTGGAAGAGTTTGAGATAAGGCAATAAAATCCGACCACCGAAATGTACTAAATGACCAACAATTTTTCTCGTCTTATTTTATGTATGACACTGCCATCAATTTACTGGAGAGGGGAAGTGTGATTGACAGGACGCAACCTGGAATGATAAGATAACGGACGTACACCATTGCACTGACCACCTGCAGTCTGGACTCAGACTCCGCCGGGTTAGCATCGTCTGTTTTCTTAACTGATCAGTTACCATAAATGTCTCGTATTCGTGTTTGTGTCGTGATTAATGTTTATTTATTATTTTTGTGTGAACTATATGACACTCTTATTTATATTTTTTTGACTAACTAATCTCAATCTTAACAACCAATTAACAAGTCGAGTTTTGATATTATTCCACTTTATCAGTTTGCATCGTGATTATAAGTTGTAAATTTGTAAAATGTTTAGTTTGAATATTATTAATTGTTCCTTGACTGAAATGTGACAAATTACTTTTAGAAACTTGTGACTTTATTTTTAGTTGGTTTTTTGTGTATTTTGTTGACTGTTTCAACAACAAATATTGCGGGTTGTGACACTTTAACACTTTGAATAATTTATTTATTAGTTGTAAATTTGTACATATTTATTTTGTAAACTTGTTTCTTGTGCATAGGGGATGTCAGTTAGATGTCTCAGCCTTATCGATAACATAAAGTTGTCAATATAATCTCTCTACGGAATGTTACGTGTAGTGGAATATTTGAAGTGAAGTTGACTTTTATTCTTGAGCTGTTAGGGGCCTCCTAGTTCATATGGTCTTGGCGGCTTCATTGGCAACAAATAATTCAAATGACATAGCAATGGGACATTTCCAAAAAGCAAAAATACTGTAAATTGGCTGTAACGTATATATTGACGGTTACATATTGTTAATCAACGTATCTTATAAAGGATTATGTGACCTAGTTTAAAAGGAATATGACCTTTCTGTCATGACAGTAGCTGATTAAATAGTATTTTCTCTTTGTATCATATTTTACAGCCAAAATGTTGTGTTATTTTCAATAATGTTACCAACCCAGTGCGCAAAAGTCCGTAATATAGGCAGGTGCAAATAAGTTTTCAAGGTGGGTACCATTTTAGGCAAGGTTTCTATGTTTGGATTTTATTAGACACGATAAGAGCAGATATTTCTACATAAATATTTGATAAGTGTAGAATAATATGATAAAATGTAAGCATAAATGGTGAAAAAGGCGGACACCGACCCGTACAATGGATATAAGATATAGTTCAATAAGAAATAATTTAAGAGTTGCTGTGATAAAAGGATTTTCCACCGATTTCATAATGGAACGTTATATTGCAAAACATGACATGATAAAGAAGAAAATCAATTTTAAAATCAGTAAATAGCCTAACATTGCAAAGTTATGACCTAAAAACAAAAAAATGTCAAATTTCAGGATTTTGCGCTAGGTACCGTACCCTATCTACAAATTTCAAACTAAAACCAAATAGGCTAAATGTGTTCTCAAGAAATGTAGTAAGTGAAGGAAAGCAATAACATTCAAATGGAAAAAATTATCATTACAATAAATATTTATGACTTTTATAAATCTTTATATTTTTCTAGAAAAACATTTTGTTATTCAAAAATATTACTTATTCAAACACATAAAACCCAAATACCATATAAAATGTTGCTGTACGATATGAACTGACGCGATGTGACGAAGGAAAAATTAAACTTACACTGTAACGGATATACCTCCCTTTGAAGTTAGAATATGTCTTCCCAACAAACAGGTTTTCTTTTAAAATAAAATCATATTAGACTGAAGATATCACGGAAGTGTTTAGCTACAAATATCCACCAATACGATTTTAATACTATTTTAAGGTTCTTCCAAAGGAAGAGATACCATATAACATACTAATAATAACTCCAATGACGTTCACTATAGGAAATATTTCATCAACCAAATTTGGCAACTTACGCAATTAATATCATTATTGTTTTTACACTTATTACTCTTTAAACAATGCTAAATGCTCAAAATATGTATATTTCACCCAATTTATCGCAATTAGATGAATTAACGTAAGCCTTGAAAGTAACCGTCGATTTCGGCGGGTTTTCACCTAGTCTATTATATTATTAAAGTGATACAATCAAATTTTATATAAACGGTTAAGGTCATTTACCAAATAAAAATATAGGCATATGGCATATCAAAATGAAGCTTAGAGTGTGTAGATTTGCCAAAAAGTATTGATATGGACAAACTGCCTAAGTGCTCTGCCCCACAGGCTGATTTCCAAAGGGCTACGCCTTGCATGTTTTGGAAGGTAACGTTATTCAATTAATTTAGTGAACAACAGCTGGTAAATGCAATTGACAATAGGCCTATAGTTTGTTTGTTTACATTTTTGTTTACTTATTTTATTATTTACTTTTAGCGAATTTCCCTATAGGGAAGTAGCTATTACCGTAGGTCTCATGGTAAGACCTAGGCCCGGGACCGATTTACTTTTTCATTTTGATGTCCCCAGAGGCCAAAAACACCATTCGTTCAAATTTTTATATATCTATATATAGAGATATATATATATATATATATATATATATATATATATATATATATATATATATATATGTGTCCATCCGCACGATAACTTGAGTAATTTTTGTCTGATTTTGATAAAATTTGGTTTGAAGGTGTAAGGCGGGATAAACTCGAACGAGTTCGCGAACCAGCATGATCGGACTATGGGAACGGGGGTTTACGGGGGGTTTTATGGGGTAAAAATGGGTTTTTCCCATTTTTGACCCAAAAAAAATAAAATTTTGCAAAATCTTTTCAAACCATTTTGTAGAGCTTAAAAAAACAAATAATTTAGTATATTGAAGTGTTACTATGCGCCTAATGGTTACGGAGAAAATTCCAAAAAAATTTAAATTTTAAATTCCCATGTTATTCTTATGGAGAATGAGTAAACTGTTGTAGTTTGCTTGTTTATGAACATATTTTGATCAAATTTGGAAAATGTTTTTATTTCTTACTAACTATTAACATTTTACAAAAAAAAGTTTTACCCTCCCTGATGCAGCAAACCTAAGTACCTGTTAAAATAATTCTATTTAAATAGGAAATAAATGTTAAATTTTTAAGTAGACATTTTAGTGTAAATCCAATCAGACATATGGAAATTCGCTTAGTCTGCAGGTTTGCTGCGGCGGGGGTATTATGTTCTTAAAAGAGGTGCGGTGAATGGACAGAGTGAAGCTATTTCTAGCGGTTTGTTACAAGTGAGTAATTAAAGGTGTTTGAAACACGATGAATATGAGATTAACAAACCATGTATGTTGTTCGTTCTAAGAGGTTGTCACCTATCTTTAACAGGTCGCCATTTCATTGAAAAGTACTAAAGTATTAAAGACATCGTAGAGAGCGGCGGGTTCATATACAACCGTACCGGTACCCACCTCGGCGGCCACCTTAGGATGTAAGGTATGAAGGTTCCACTGGTTTTAACATCCTTTCAGATGACAATTTCTCGAACTTGGGCCCTTTCAATGAAATATAAAGTCAAAGTTGATTAAATTAATTTACCGGTGGCTACTGTACACCCGTGAATTCGTCAATTCGTTTTTCGGTAGAACCTCTTGTACACATATATTATATAACTTTTTACAACACAAACTAACACTGTACGGTTTTTAATTTTTTTTTTGGTTCTCCATTTGTTATTATATTTCACCCCAAAAACTTAAAAAAAAAGATATTTTCCTAACATGTTATATATTTCTACATGTAGGGAATTAGATTGTCTACAAAATGTATACAACTTAATGAATTTCCTATAAAAAATCTGTAGAAAAATTTTTACCTAGGCTGCTTTTGAAATTTAAAAAAAAATCTTATTTTTTTTTTAAATTAACCGAAAAAATACACTGTCTAAATCATTACTATTTAGGCCTATAGATTCTCCTGTTCTTTCCAAACAGAATGAATAGGCCTATAAGGTTGGCTAGGTTTACTTGCACGGTTGAAGTTTTACGAATTATCAAAAAAAGGTACCTGCAAAATCGCCAAAATGGGTTGGCCATTCCCCATTTCTAACATTGGCCACTGCTAGGGTTAACTAACCAAACTTGCTGTAACATTTCAAAATTCCGTTTGATAGCCTTATTCCCCATATTCCTTTTCTATTATCGAACGGAATTTTGAAACGGTTACTTAGCCTACAGCAAGTTTGCTTGGTTAGGCTATGTTAGGTTAGTTTTAATTAAGAAGGCTAGTTTCATTTCATAAATCCAATATATAGGCTATCAGTCTTGCCTAAACAAGATTAGGCTAGTTCTTAATCCTATTATCTAATACGAGCTATAGGCCTTAACTCAATAACACTTGTTATTAAACCAAGTTAGCTCTATAACTTAAACATATTTACTATGTCTGTTTGTTTGTCTGTCTGTAATTTAAATGTGTTTGAAGATATTAAACAGATGGTAACTTATATGGATTGTAAATCAAAACAAAAGTACGGTACTTATCGATATAGCTTATCAAAAATAAATCATCAATAACTGAATAATGAATGTTCCCCTTAACTGGAAAGTACCTACCGTCTTTTGTTAAAACAATTTATTGTTCACTAAAAATTGAACTTAGGCCTATGAGGAAATGATGAAGATCATACAAAATGTGTGGGCTTTTGTGAGAAAATGATTCGGGATTTGTTAATTTAAGTACTTCACACATGTTCTCATTCGCCTAACTTACGTGGGATCCAGAGTACTGTAGGCCTACCCTTATTAGGACGTACACTTGGGATATTATTCCTACTTTGTCTTATTATACTTATACTTTATACTTTTTGATGAAATGGCGACCATAAAAAGTAGGTATTTTAAGCCAAGTATGAATGGAGATGAGTGCAGGATTAACCCTCCGAGTGTTGTGTGTCGTAAAAGCGACTCATAACACACTTTCTGTAGTGTTTTGTGTCGCTTTTGTGACTCACAAACACTGTTTACGGCGAAGGCTCTATGACTGACTAAATCGGATTGAACTGGATCGAGTTAGGTTGGCTATCGTTTTTTTTTTTTTCAGATTCTAAGCTTTCTCCCGAGGTCTGTCTCTAAGCGCTTTTTTTTCTCGAGCTGATCATAATTGTAGCAGACAGCTGACGTGCGTAACTTATTTGTAAACAGCTTGGTTAACCTCGCACCGATGACTGATGTGTTTTATTACGTTTATCATTGTTTTAGTGTTAAAAATCAAAAGTAGTGATATACGTGGTGCATTATAAGAAGATTTAAGTGATTTTGAAGGGCTGGTTAATGATCCTGAAGAAGTAGTAGGCCTAGTGATATTGATGTAAATTATCAGCCAGATTCCTAGATATGGTTAGGCTATGCATTCTTAGCTAAACGCTATGTACCAAAATCTGTTTTTTGCCCATAACTTATTTAGGCCCTATTTGCAAATCTACTTCCTTATAAGTTATTATTATATTTTTGGAATCCTCATAAAATTCTGAACAAAGTGGCTATTTTTAAATATTTTTGATTGTTCGCACTGAATGGGCGAACATTAAGACCAAAACTAGAGACACTTGGAGGGTTAATAACTGAATAATGAATGTTCCCCTTAACAGGAAAGTACCTCAACCTTAACCTTAGGATTAAGTAAATAGTGTACAGAAAAACTATTTAGTATTTTGTTAGATCTAGGCCTATTTTGAATAAAAATATCTGAACAGCCCAAACTACACATTTGAAAGGAACTTAATTATTATGTCTACTATATACTTGCTTTAGTCTATTGAATTAAGCCTTCGTAAAAGTGCGTTGTCATTGTTGATGTCAGGATAAGAGTATGCCTCGGCTTGTTCATTTAAAAGTATTTTAACAAATGGAAGTACTGGACATTAAGTTAAACAATTATGCTTACCAAATCATAGTACTTTCAAGAACCATCTTCTTCGCGTTGCTTGATATCCGCTATGTGATTATGGAATAATAATATGAGCCCTTCCTTGCCTTGGTGCCTGATGCCTGAAAGAAAACTGATGCTTGCTTATGTATTATGTATTGTTTCGTTTCTTCATTTCATTTGCTTTTTTCTGTTTCTTCTCTCTGCAGACAACTCCACAACTGCTTTAAGCCGAGCGAGATTTGGATTTGAGTGCTTTCACTGCTTTCAGTTAGCTTTGCTACCGTGGGGTATCCACGGTTAGGGTTCACTTACTCTACGAATCATTGACACAATGAGCCTCCAAATATGTAATTCTTAAAACACATGGCTCACTTACTCTACAAATCATAGTCTATACGAGCTTCGTAAATAATATTGAAGGTTCACTTGCACTACAGGCTCGTATACTATACGAGCCGATCAAAAATATCAAATAAATTAAGAGGGTTCACTTACTCTACAGATCATTGTGCCTATGAGCCAAGCGTATGAATTCTTGAATAATTCAGGAATAAGCTCGTATAGTATACGAGCCAAAATACTGAATTTAAATAAATTACAGGAGTAGGCTCGTATACTATACGAGCCTATTTCATGATAACTATTACACAAATAGAAGACGGCTCACTTACTCTACAGTTCATTGGCACAATGATCTGTAGAGTAAGTGAACCCTCTACAAATATTAGAAGGCTCACTTACTCTACGGTTCATTTAGCTACTCGTCGCGCGGTTTGCAGCGCATCGTTGCAGGCGTGTATGGTAAACCAATACCGCAGTTCTGCCGTTCTGCCTTACTTCTGCCGTTTACTAGTCTTGCAGCGTGAAAGAGAGCTTGTTATGTTAATGCATTGTTGAATTTTTAACTTGTGTACTCGTTACTAGAAATCAAGCAATTATCAAGTACCGGTACAGGAGCTATTTTAAGAGTTATTACAGACTTAATTTTCAATTAATTAAAAAGACTCACGTAAAAGCTTATGCAACTAATGGAATTACTTACTGTGTTATGAACATTTCTATATAATTAAAGTTGTAAATATTTTAAAATTGTTTAGAAGATTGCCTTTTTAGTGTTTTCTACAAACGTGTCTCAACTTATACACATAGACTGGTGGAGTGGTAATTTATATTTCTAATCATTTAACTTTAAATTATGAACGCTTTCAGTCACGTGAAGTTGAATTAATTAAACTGACATTAGTTTTTACCATAAATGATAAACCTTTTGAAATTGACTTAATAGCTTTGTATAGAAACTATAAATATGATTTTTATTTTTTCCGCAATGATTTGCAACGTATTTTGAGTAATTGTAAAAACACAGCTATTATGTTAGGAGATATAAATTTATGCATTTTAGAACAAAATAACAATGTCATTGATTATTTAAGTATAATGAACTCATTTGGTTTTGAGTCGTTTATAAATGAGCCAACTTGGGGGAGAGAAAATTGGGTAAAGTGTTTAGACCATGTATTCATCAGAAGTAAGACTAATTTAATTTTTCATAGTAATTTAGAAAACTATGACTTTACTGATCATGCTGGAGTTAATGTAAATTGCGTAACAAGTTGTGATAGTGCTTTGAAAGAGGAGTTTGTCAAGGCTGTAGATCATTCAATTTTAAAAAGAAGGTTGGCTGAAGTGAGCTGGATGCCAGTGTTTGATTGTGAGGATGTTGATAAATCTCTAACAGTTTTTTACGATATTTATAATAAATGTATTGAGCAATCAATTTTTTTAAGGCCTATTAACAGTAAAATAGGCATCGAACTCCATGGATATCGGACACACTAATTAAAAAGATAAATGAAAAAAACAGACTTCACTCTCGATTGAAAAAGCACTATGACATACATTTGTTTAATAGATATAAAGAACTCTCTAGAGAATGTTCTAATTTGAAAAGACGGGAAAAAATTAATTATTACTCATCTAAAATTGAAGCAGTAAAGGGCTGCATCAAAGTCTTATTGGAATATATGCAAATCTATTATGAGAAAGTCAAAAAATGAACTAACATCGATTAATATAGATGATGAAATTGTACAGGTTGAGGGTAATGAAAAAATAGTTGCTGACTCATTCAATAACAATTTTACTGGTATGCCGGATAAGCTGATTAGAGAATTGTATGGGCCGGGATTCCCCGCCATGCCGGATATCGGTCTAGCGTGCAGCTCAAGGTTACGTTTATCTGAAATTACTGAGGTAGAATTAGAAAGTTTAATCTTAAGCAAACCAAATAAACAGTCTGTTGGCTTTGATGGTATTTCCATAAATACTATAAAAGAAAATGTTAAGATTTTTGTCCCAATATTACGTCACATTTTTAATTTATGTATAAAGCTAGGTTACTTTCCTTCTAGTCTAAAAACAGCACTCATTGTTCCAGTATATAAGGCAGCTGATCCATTGCAAATGAATAATTACCGACCGATCACTTTTAAATACCTTTGCTAAGCTGTTAGAAACTTGTGTGAAAAGCCAATTACAGTAGTTAAATATTTTTCAGATAACAATTTATTTTCAAATAATCAATTTGGGTTCATGAAAGGTAAAAATACTGACCTAGCAGTTGAAAGACATATAAGCGAGATAGTTAATCATGTTGATGAGCGTAAACCAACAATAGGAGTTTATCTTGACTTTACTAAGGCATTTCACTTAGTTAATCAAGACATATTATTACATAAACTAAAGTTATATGGAATTCAGGGAAATAGTTTTAAGTGGTTTGAGACTTTTTTAAATGAAAGAAAACGGATGGTTAAAATAAAAAAATTTTGTGTTTATTACCATGTTAATCTTATGGAGAAATACGAAACTTTAAAGGGCTCCAGGGCCTCACTCTCTAATTATTTCCCTAAAAGAAAGTTTCCTGCACAACTTCACGTTACGGTCTTTCCAATGACACCAAAAACATGTCAATCGGTTCAGTAGTTTCTGAGGAGTAATTGTCACAAAAAACCTGCTTGCGTATTAAATAAGTAAAATATAGATATATGGATTTGCTTATGTTAAATTTATTATTTTAAGAGCAACCATCACTTAATTTGAAGACGATAATTAAATAATAAATAATAATTAGTTGATTTGGAATTAGGTAGCTGGTGCCCATTCTACGTACGGGAATCTTAGTAGACATTTCTTAAATTCAGAACAGGAGTTGGTTTCCATATTTAGTGTGCACTTTTCCAGATATGCTGGGAAAACTATTACTGTATAGGAATACATATAAACCTTCGCAAATACAATATCTGACAGTTTCAAGCCAAAACGAATGCTTCGCAATTAAATGTTACCCAATCTTGTTAGTCCATATTTTATATCTAATGAAGGAAGCAAAGGAACTGCTTTATAGATCTACTAGCAACAGTGCCCGTTATGGTTAAACACAACGGTCTCTAGTAAAATAATGGTTATGAAATCCATACACCACTTTACTCACTAATATTAACTAGTGCACATGTTGCTCGAATTCGAGCAATTGCAAAGTAATACAGGAGTTATTTCAAAACGAATAACAGTCATATTTAAAATGAGTTTAAAAGAGTCAACTCAAAGATTATCAACGTGTAACAAAAAAAGCTATTCACGATTTATATAACTTATCAACGTTTCCTGTAAATATTGCATCATATTTCATACCCTGGAGTTGCTTTTTAATGTTTTCGACAATCATTTCTTGACTTATAGCACAGAAAACATACTAATATTTTCTGTGTAAATAGCCATATAAGGTTGTCCATGTTTATCTTTGTTATTGATAAACCTAAAGCATTACGGCCGGTTTTCTCCTTCTCAAAATGCCTCGCTGTACAGGCAACACAGGTCATTGATAGGGGATCAATTGAGAACGAAAAGTCGTTTTGGGGCGCATTTGTAACCTAATAGTTGAGATTGTCCAGGGTCAGGTGCTGACTGTGATGAGTTAAGCCTTTTACGCGCCACTGTTCTGTAGCTGCGGTCGTTATCACGATTACGCCTCCTGTCTATGTTTCGTTGTCGTCGCGTCGGTGGCATTTTAAAGATAAAAAACAACAAATAAACAAATTATAGCTACACAAAACAACGATAAATGCAAAAATTTTAGTTACAATCATGCTAACCCGATCCTTCATAGCGACACAAAAAAAAAACAACGATAAATACACAAATTTAAGATACAACCTTTGACTATTAATACAACAACATACAACCATACTAACACGATCCGTCTTATGGGTTATGTTTACACAGACTCAAATAGTAAATAAATGAACTCAATGCGTTTCATTGAATTGAAAAATAAATAACAGCAATTAAATTATACAGCTGATCAAAATGTAAACAATTATGTTCTTCATAAGGATAACATGGGAACTTTCAAAGCCACTGGGGCAGAGCCCAAGGGTCTTTTAAAAAAATGTAAGGCCAGTTTGCAAATTTACGCGACACGATCTTTTCAATGAGACGTCAATGGATAAAATCGGTTAAGAAATGGCGGAGGAGTTCAACCGACAAAGTTTCATGTAGCGTATTAATTATATAGATGGTACAGTTTAAGCACATAACATTAGAATGTTTAGAATGTAGAAAATTTAATCAAAGAAAAATTAATTAGATAACAATAAGCTGTTGAATTATTAACACATGTTTCGTATGATTAGATTATACATACTGGTAAACCAATTATTACCATCTATAAAAATAATTGGTTTTTCTTTTCCGAGTCGGGTTAGCTCTTCTACCCGACCGATTTTCATAATTTTGGCCAACTAAGGACGTACCGCAGATTTATTTGAGCTACTGTATTGTTTATTGAGATCGGACTACCTAAAGCACACTGCTGAATCACGAATCAACGATAATTACCTATCTGCAATCAATGATACGTAACTCTATTTTTATTTAAGTTATTTTATATGTCTTAAAATACTTCAAAAGCTTTCACTTGAGATATTGATAGTTTTAATCAATTAAGTTCAAGATACTGTATCGCTCAATCATAAAGTATAAATTGCATTATATCTTGGATATGGAATTTAGTTTTAAATATATTTAATTAATTCTAACTACGTTATTCTATTTGTTTTGACCTAAGAACCTTCATTGAAATACCACTCCCATTTCATTAA